CTTGGAATAGCTTTTGATTTCGGGCCAGCCACACCGACCACACCAAGGAATTCCAAATGCAATCCCATCCATCTCTTAAGCTTGTCTCTTTCGGCTCTCTTTCGAAATTCTGGAAAGTGTTTTAGCAGTCCGCTTTTAGTGTGACATTAATCCCCCACCACTTTGTGCAAGCCATCCATAACCATCGAGCCATCTTGCATTTTAAAAACATGTGCGTCGTGTCTTCCTCTTCTTCGTTGCATATTCCACATTTGCTTTCTCTCGTGTCTTTAATGATCCCTCTTCTCAACAGATTCATTTTGGTTGGTATTCTGTCCAGTAGTAATTGCCAGTTGAAAGCCGAGATTTTGCTTGGTAGGATGGAGTTCCAGACTCTTGTGAATGTTGTAATTCCGTTTGCTTCACTCTCTTCTTTTGTTAAAAGTGTATATGCTGTTTTTGTTGTGTATTGGCCATCCTTGTCATGAATTCACTCCCATCTATCCGAGATTCCTTATGAGGTCTTCACATCTCTTATCTTGCTCTGAAGTTCCATGGCCTCTTCCGTTTCCCACTCAAACAAATTTCTCCTCCACGATAGATTCCATTCCCATGCTCCATTTCTTCTACTTCCCATTTCGCTGCATGTATTATTTTTTCCTGTTGATAATAGATATAATCTAGGAAATTTGTTAGCAAGGCAACCCTCTCCCCCCCAATTATCCCACCAAAAACTCATAGTCTTCCCCTCCCCGATGTTAATCTTAAAACCCTCCTTCAACCAGCCATTGTTCTCCACATCCATTGTGTTGATAGCACACACATCCCTCCACTATGTTGATCCTACTCCTTTATTTTCAGCAATCCAATCTTGCCAATGTCCCCCTCCCTTGCCGTACTTATCAACTATTATTCTCTTCCACAAACCCTCCCCATTTTCAGCAAGTCGTCCCCACCATTTCCCCATCAATGCCAAGTTGAATTTTCGTAAATCCCTCACTCCTAGTCCCCCTTCCTCTTTCTTTTT